GTACACTCCAGAGACCATGCTTCGCCGCAGCGTCCGTGGGAATGCGGCTGAGAGGGAATCCCCGTCGGCCTCTTCCGTCGTGTGAGGCGGCTCGAGGGGTCTGGAGGCTGAAGCGGCGCTGCCGATAATTCTGTCCCGTTTCTCAGGCGCCGGGAAATTCTCTCTGCTCGCCCCGTGATCAGAGAACACTGGCCAATTCTAACAGGAAAAAAACTATAATTCTTCTCATTGCCAGAACAGGAACATTCTAGGTCTACGTACTGTATAACAGAAACCATCTGTAAACTCCTGAGGGGGGGCAGGACTGAATGTAGGGTGCACCCCCCCCATGCAAAAGGAGGAGGGTGTGATATCCTCCCCCCAAAAGACAAAGCTTTTCGAACAAAAAAATTGGTCAGGGATATGTATTTTCTGTCGTGTAGCAAAATAAAACAAACAAACAAACAAAAACAAAAAAAGAGAGAAATCGTGTAGCAAAATAAAACAAACAAACAAAAACAAAAAGAGAGAGAACGTTTTAACAGAAATTCAAAAGGCTGCAACAGAGAGTACCGCCCCCCTGTGCTCACGCCAATTCTTCAGGGTAGAATGTATGGGAGGGAAGGCCCTTTGCTCCAGATCAACACAATTGCTGCAGGATGCAAACTCTCCGAATGGGAGCGACCCAGAAAAGTCAAGGGAAAACTCTGGGCATCCTCATGTTCACACATAATAAAAGGTAGCAGTAAATATAGAGGGATTTATGCTTTTCTCTTAACTTGGGCCTCTCTTTTTTTGGTAAGCATCTTTTACTTTAAAAAAAAATACAGCTAAATTTTAGCACAGTCTCTTATCCCCATATTCTGCGTTCAGTGCCACTTAAGACACACCACATCTTGCCTCCTCCTGCAATGTGCTCTGTCTGAGGCTGCTGTTGAAGAAATGCCCAAGAGATTCAGTTGGTGTAACATGCCTAAGACCCTAACAAGACCATGGTACCCTGGTACTTAAAAGACCTGCACTGGTTGCTATTCGTTTTCTACATGGTTTTGGTGTTGCTTTAGAATGTTAAAGCCCTATATGACTTGGGACCTGGCTGTCTGAGGGGCTACCTGTCTCCTGCTTGGATCTTAAGATCTTCAAGAGACATAATCTTGAGAGTGTTGGAGTTTTACAGTATTTACAATCTCACATGCTGTCTGTAGTCTGAGTGACAGGGAAAGACATTTTCTGGAGTGACTGCCTATCTATCCAGCACGAGCCAATTGTTCCTTCCGGCTTTTGAAATTCAAACAGAGCCCTGCCCCTCTGCTGAGTATTCTATCCCTCTCTTTGCTGTCTGGTGGCAGTTGTTTTGTTGCTGTTGATCTGTCTGGTTGGTTGCTAGTATATGTATGTGCAGTAAAGAAAGCAGTGTGCACAAGTCCATAATTCCAAGCAGTTGTAAGTAAATGTTTTTCATTGTTTTTTGTACAAATCTCTCTGAGCAAGTTACTCAAACTTAAAGTGCCAGTTAATGAGATGGGCTGGCCTCTAGTGAATGTGTCCTCTGTGGATTTCAGTTTTTCTACTATGTAGCAAAAAGAGAATTTTAGGAGAAATTCAGAACTCTGCAACAAAAAGTACCGTCACCTCAGTCCCTGCTTGATGTCTCCTCTCTCTCTCTCTCTCTCTCTCTCTCTCTCTCTCTGGTGTTTTGTTTTGTTTTGTTTTTTTCCTCCTAAGCTATGAAATGCATTACCATCAGAGATGTGACTGGTTGATCTCTTGCTGCTTTAAGGAAGGTTATGACAAAACTACTCTTCAAAGTGAGCTCGTAAACTGTAAGTTGTGATATTTTAATTACTTTAATTTTCATGATTGTAATGATTTCATTGTTTAATCTATTATTAAATCTATTATCTATTATGTTTCAACTTGTTTTAACTATGATTATCAAATGTGTTGGGTGCTATTCTTAGTGGAACATCATAATATAAATGTGATAAATAAGATATTTCATGGAGCTCAGACTGAAAAAATGGCTTGTTACAGTGTTTCTGCACTTTTATTGTAATACTGCAGTTCAGAGATTAGGCTGAGAGACTGGTGTAGAATTCCACTTACTCTGAAATGTAGTCCCAATATTATTATATCCCAAATGTGCAGTGGAGTCCAACTGAGGCTGAGACAATGCTTAAGAAAAACCCTGCAGGGTTGTTCAGTACTGTTATGTCACCATTGGAATACGAGTGGTTAGGTTGAGGCTGAGAGGAGCAATCAAAATGGTCTGCTATTACTATTGCACATTCTACATTCAATGGGGCAGGAGGTCAAAATAGCTTCTTCATTTTCAGATAGGCTTTCCAAATGTCTTCCTTTAGGGCAGGAGGTCAAAATAGCTTCTTCATTTTCAGATGTCTTCCTTTAAGGAGGGCATTCATCCATTTGAATGGCTGCCAGAGGACAGTCCTTTTTTTTGAGACCTGTCCACCATCTCCAGTCCAATGATGATGTACAGATAAAGAACCTTAACAAGGGAACTTGGTGACTTTAAAACTATCCAGCTTCAGCGAACCCTGGCTAGCAGACTGAGCAAGTGCACAGGTTGCCTGGTCACTGCCTTCTCCAGTTGAGTGAGAAGCATAATAATAGATTAAGATATAAAATAAAAAAATCATTTCAAATATTGCGTTTATATACATAAATTTATATATGCAATTTTAGGGATACTGTCCTCCTTTTTGGTGGTGTGCATTGGGCCATTTTAAAAGAGAACAATTTTTCTTTCTTTCTTTCTTTCTTTCTTTCTTTCTTTCTTTCTTTCTTTCTTTCTTTCTTTCTTTCTTTCTTTCTTTCTTTCTTTCTTTCTTTCATACAGTAAGGAAATGTGAATACTGCTTGCTGAGGCATCCCTGTTTTCCCCCAGTTGCCACCAACTGATAGTGTGACTTGCAGGGAGTTTTTGGTTTTCAAATGATATCGCTGCTATGAAACAGGCATCAGAATCAGCAAGAAGTGAAAATATTATTCTGACCCCCTTCCCCAACCCACCAGACCTTCCTGATATGCCTGTGGGAATAGCCTGAGCCAAAAACTGTTTGGATTTTTATCCCCAATTCCCCATGCAAATTGATTCTTAGAATGCAATATCTCAGTTCTTAATCCTGCACCCAGTTGCACATAGAAACCTTTTACTCCATGAGACACATGCAGAGACAGTAGCAATGGGGAGCAGGAAAACACCACAGTGGTAGGAAAAAGGACAGAAGGATTGGTGTTGGGTAAGATAAGTATTAATGATACATATTGATTATTTCCATGTAGTTGCTGTGTTTACCGGAACCTTTCATTCTTCTATAATTATAAGAAATCCAGTGCCATCTTATGATCAAACAGCAGCTCCTTTTAGCTATCTGCATTGTTGATAGAGTTTCATGTGCAGACGGCTAGAAAGAGCTGCTATTTGATCTTGGTTGGTGCTGAACCTCTCTCAATTCCAGCTCATAAAGAGGGAAAGATATTCCAAAACATGTGAGCCACATGAAAATAATTCTCCAACCCTTCTGTCCTTTTCTCTCTTCTGCATGAAAACATGACACACGAATGATTAGGAATGGAAAGAATGTACATTTTAGCATAAAATAAGAACCAAGTACGGAAATGCCAGGTCAGCAGCATCCTATTACTGGAGATTGCCATAATGTAAAATTGGGTTGGGGTGTTGTGACATTACTGGATAGGGCGGGCAAGTGGTAGTGGGTGGGATTGCTTTTGGATGAGCTGTGTGCTGAAACAGGCACAACACTCCATTGGTAGGTCCAAATGTATGCACTCATCAGTTCCCTTCCCAATTCCCTGCTCTTGTTTCTAGTTATTCAGTGCACCAATTCTGCACCAGCACAAGGCACATACACACATCATTACAGTGAGCCCTGATGCCAGTTGGGAATGGGAGATGGTTTCTTCAAGCTTCACACCCAGAAAAACCAAATGTTCTCCTCCTCCAGCACTGCTCTCTCTGAGATTTGTCTCCTTGCCTAGAGACCTGAAGAAATACAGCAGTTCCTTGAGACTTCAGTCAGATTCCTTAAATTAGCTAATAGGAAAAAGAATGAGCATTTGTTTGAGTGGAAGTTGCCTGTGGCTAGTCACAGCTATGGTAAAAATATGGTTTCTGGGATGGGTAGGACCTATTGTATTCCCTCACCCTGGCCTTCACCTTTATAACTGAGGAGTTGTCTTCTCCATGACTTCTATACGCATGATTTACATGAAGAAGTACTTCCCTCTGATATAGTGCTTAATGTGTGTCTGAGATGCACCATTTTAACCTGTGTGTGAGGCCTTAATGAGACACTATAATTAAGCTTTAAAAATAAATAGGAAAAAAACCCACTAGCAGTAGCTGGGAAAAACACACAAGGCAGGAACTGAAAAAGGAAGGTCATGGAGCTAATTATAAATCCATTGCAGGGACATGAGAATTTTCCTTAATTTCTAAGGGGCTGGTTTGGAATAATTCTTCATTTAAAATACCATAGCTGTATGGCATTTGTTGTTGTTTAGTCATTAAGTCATGTCCGACTCTTTGTGACCCCATGGACCAGAGCATGCCAGGCCCTCCTGTCTTCCACTGCCTCCCGGAGTTTGGTCAAATTCATGTTGGTAGCTTCAATGACACTGTCTTTAGTGGCACTAAAGCTCCCTAAGAGCGCTTGGAGCAGGGCTGCGGAGGATGGCTAGGGCTGCCCCCCCCCATGCGACCCAAACCAAATTTATGTGCGGCCCAAACCAAATTTTCATCTTCTAATGTGGCCCAGGGAAGGTGAAAGGTTGGACACCCCTGGTTTAGGTCTCTGGTTGAGGAGTCAGAAATTGGGAGTTCAGTTCTCCACCGTGCCTTCTTGACAGAGGCTGGATTTGAAAAATCCACAGGGCCCCTTCCAGCTCTGCAGTTCTAAGACATTATTATACTATTATTAATCTCTCTTTATCAACCCAACCTCTCCGAAGACCCTCCAAAAATAATTTTCACAATGTATCAGAAGAAAAGTTTTTATTATTTTTCCCAAAGAAAAAAGAGCAATATAAATATTAGAGTATAAAACTTGCGTGTAACACATCAATGTCAGTCTATATGGATATAAGAAGGATATAAGCATATATATAATATATAAGTATAGTTCAATATTAGACACATTGAAAGGACAAGTAAGTGTTTCAATTCACATACATTTAAAAGCACAAAGAGCACACATAAAGAAGATACAAAGGAATAAAAAAAATACTGATGTCCACAACTCAATTACTAAGATTTAAAAAAAGAAAAATAAACCTACACATCACTATGTTTGCAGCACCACTACACTACTTTCAGCTTGCTGATTAAAAGGAAATAGAGAATGACTAAGATTCATCTACAGTGCTTTGGGAAGGGTCACATAATAACTACCTTAGTACATAATAAGCCTTAGGCACAATCCAGTGAGAAGTTCACAGATACAAGCCCAATGAAATAAACAGGAGTCACACCACAGGATGATCATGCTGTTGCGCTGGTCCAGTTAATTTCAATGGGACATCTGCAGGAGAATTTCCCACAAGACCATATGCTGTTTCAATAACTATGTAAACTGTTTCTAGTGCTGTCACCAAACACAGGGGATGGGACGGTGACTGGGATCAGTACAAAATCATATATAGTCAGATGTTTCTTCCTGAAGACAGGTCCTGCTTTCTAGATATTGGGGAGGCAGCAAAATGCAGTAGCGATGAATACTATGCAGCCAGTGACTGCAACATTTTAGAAAGAGTAACCTGAGGAGATCATAGAAGGCTGGACCATCTCAGGCATTCTGCTTATTAGAAGTTATTTCAAAAATAATTTTTTTCCTGGGCTGGTGGTTAGCTCTTCATGTTGGAAATATGCTGCATCTCTGCCTTTGTGGTTCAGCTACAGTGATACAGAAAGGCAGGTAAAAGTGAAGACAAGCCACATTGCCCCTAGAAATGCAACCAGGGCTGCCAAGAGCACACAACAGTGTGTGTCTTGTCTGTGCTGGGCTTAAATGAGCAAAAACAGCATTACAAGCTACAGAATAACACAGTGTAGGAAAGCCTCACTTCCTGTCAATACTAAGCTATGAAAAAACATCATTATAAAACCTAAAACAAAGAATTTCAAAACATAACACAGGGATTTTTCCAGTGGATTCACATCCAGGTAGGGGTGGTAGTAAGGGCTCCAAGGATTTTCAGTACACTAATGCTGAGTCACTTCAAACATGTTCAGAATTTGACCTCAGGACAGAGTCATCGGCTTGCCAGTCAGAAATCTCTATCCAGTTTTAATTTCAGCATCTCTTATCTGTGTCTGGTTCCTTAGTCTCCTCAAATCAACTGCTGTAGGCTTAATATCAATTTACGAAGGCCAGTGAACCAAACATATTTCAGTATGCAAACTTTCCTACTGATCTGACCCAGGGCAATGCATCTTATTACTGAACTCTACTCACAGACAGACAATGTTCATGTTCCACCAAGATGTGGGCACTTGACAGCATATTTACATCATGCTGTTTATGGCATGCAATGATTTCTCTATTCTAGCTTTGATGGAGTTGGTTGTCCTACTGAAGATGTAGTGTTTTGCATGCAGCTCAGTGTGCAGAAAAATGTGAAGCATTCCATGTTAAAAAATTCTCTACCTACATGGCCAACAGAGCCCATTCACCTATTGAAGACATCTGCCTGTGGAACTAGCAGAGATATTTCAGTGCTTAGTGGAGCAGCAGCTCATTATGTTCACAAGCAAGTGACTTCAACTTAACTTATTCCAGAAAACATTTACTGTACACATAAATATTTGTTGACCAAAATGTAGATGTGATGTGTTGTCTCTTTAGAGGCCACTGTAAATCAATCAAGAAGACAAATGTTCTCCAACATGACAACATATGAGGCACCCTCTGCCCTTGGAAGGGTTCCTGTTGCAATGTATTTGTGCGCCCTGCCTCTCTGGATGCCATTGGTAAAACTTAGGGAAAAAAAGAGTTTACAATGTAGCTGAATTGCATTCCCTTCTAATGATGCAGGATGGACACTTGTTTCTTCTGAAACAAAGCAAGGAACTACAGCACTCCCTATCAATTTCATAACAAGGATTCCAGTTGAGATTGATTTCTCTCTCCCCAAGAACTTTAATCAAAATCTGGGAGAGGGAGAGTGTTCTTAAAAATGAAAAATAAAAATACACCCCACCCACCCCACCCCTCTCATCCCAATTAGAAGAATTATTTACAATGGACAGAGCCTATCCTAACCCTTGTAAGTTGTGCAGATCACTTCGAAGCAAGCCAACGTCTGAGAAAATGTTTCAGAGCTCTGACACCCTTGCATATTAGATTGCCCTTAAGAGAGAATAAGCTATATATCCACAGGGGTTGCTTTGTTGTATCCAGATACTTTTACATCATGAGGACTTAACAGTAGGAGACCTACTCACAGCTCTGATGACAAGAGTGTACATTCGCCATGCTCTATACTTTTTTCTTTTTTTGAATCAAACCACAAATTCACATTCATCCTCCATCCTAGGTTATGAATTGGGGGAGTGCTGAAAGAGTCTGCCTTTAAGATCTAAGATGGCAGTAGGGTTGTCCTGTGGGCTCTACTTCTTCTCTTTCTTTCCTGACTTCTTCTTGTTTCCACCTCCGGCGGCGGCAGGTTTCCCATCACGTTTCCCCGAGGAATTTGAGAGGGTAGCTGTGCTGCCAGGGATGTACACATTCTGTCTGTAGTCAGGGACATGCTGCAGGGTGAATTGGGGGCCATACCTGGCACTGAGGCCCATTGTGCCTGCCACAGCTCCTCCTCCTAGAGTTGAATTTCCATCAGGATTGGCGGCGGCGGCGGCAGCAGCTTCTACACAAACGTAAGGAGTGGAAAGAGAGCGGAAATAAATAAATTAGACCAGTTGAGCCTCAGCATACATTTTTTTAAAAAATGTCATATACAGTGTAAGGTGTTGACTGTATGTCATTTTGGTAGGACCCATTCTCCACGCCCACCGAAATTCCTGTGAATGGCTTAGAGCTTTCCGATTCTCAGAAGGCAACATTCATACAGGCCTTACACTGTGTAAAACATTAAGTTACAGAAGAATAACCATGTGAATTTGTTATTTGTTACAAATATAAAACCGGTTTGACTAACCCCCCCTCGGAGGGGGAAAAACCTAGACTCTGAGCCTCCAGCTCTGGGTGGCAAGAGAAGTTCTTCATATGATCTTTATAAAATACTGAATATCTTGCATCTTAACTCCCCTTAGGATGCAGAGGCATAGATGATTTACTGGGCAGATGGATGCACACAACTAGATTTTCAGATTTCAGGAAATACATTCTTTTTAATTGAGTTTCCACACATGAGGCAGCTTATTTGTTCAAGTTCAAAATATGTAATACTTAATTTCACTGCTATAGAAAGCACAAAACTGCTACTAATGTTTTTCATTACAATACTGCCCATATTACCTATACCATTCGGATCTTCCATGAGAAAAGCCAAATAGTACTGTCTGGGAGAAGAGTATGCAGATACAGCTGAAAGGCTCTTGCTTGTGCTGAAGTTTGGAGGAAGGAAGAAATGGCTTCTCACACAAGTTCCCACTGCAACATGTGCAGAGAGGGGTTAGGAGAGAAGCAGGGTCCTTTCATTTGTACACACTGCAGACCGAAAGAGGTATTCCTCCCCCCCCCAAGCCTTATTTTAACCAAACAGAAGCAAGGGCAACAAACACCAAGATGCCCACCTCACCTCTTCCTCCGATTTGCTTTCTAGTGTTTTGGAAAGAGCTGTCAATATGCCTATTAAGCAGGCTGTGTGCTAGTTCTACTCTACATCAATAAACATTCACTTCAGCATTTAAGAATTACAGAGAAATACCAAAATTACAGTATTAAATTCTGAGAATATGCAAGGAAAGGAAAGGAAATAAGAATCAAGCCCTAACCCTTTTCTTGATCTTGGTTTTCTTAGAGCTGTTCCTGTCATTTACAGTCTTACATGGGCTTAGCTCTTAATGGTAATGCTATGAAAATTTCACCACTGGATAGTCTCTCCAGGTATAAGGTTCTTCACATAATCTACAAAGAAACAATGGCTGAAATCTCATTGCACTTGGTGTAAAGATATGCCTGCAGAAAATTCATGGAGAATTATACCTAGACAGTACGTGTGTCTGACTGCACAACTAGTGGGCAACTGGTTACATGTTCCTGTCATTTACAGTCTTACATGGGCGTAGCTCTTAATGGTAATTTACCGTGTGCTATGAAAATTTCACCACTGGATAGTCTCTCCAGATATAAAGTTCTTCCCATAATCTACAAAGAAACAATGGCTGAAATCTCATTGCACTTGGTGTAAAGATATGCCTGCAGAAAATTCATGGAGAATTATACCTAGACAGTACGTGTGTCTGACTGCACAACTAGTGGGCAACTGGTTACAGAACTAGTTGGGGAATTGCTTGCTAGATACAACTTCCACCTTGGGTTGTGCAATTTCAAGTTATACAGGCATAGCTACATGACAGAATTCTGGCCAATGATTTCAGACCAGGGAAGAAAGGGGGAAACAGGAAGGTTCTCCAGGAAATATAATGGCCAAAATCCTGTTGTGTTGCTATACAAATGGTGTAACTTTCAGAGGCAAATTGCTCCTAGTTAGGAAATCACTGTAAACATTTCAGTTGCACACTGAGTCACCCGACTCAGCCTGCAACAGATATTGCCTGTGGTAATTTCTTAATTTAAAGCAATGCACCTTCAACACCATTTGTGTTATGGCAGCATAACAAGGCAAAAGGATATGGGCTATGAACAGACAGATGGAGTGGCCCTGGGGAGCCCCCTCAGCTTGGTTATAGCAAACGTCTACATGGAACATTTCAAAAAACAGGCTCTGGCTTCGGCACCCTTCACACCCACAGTCTGGATCAGATATGTGGATGACACCTTCAGAATTTGGAGCCACAGTGAAGAAAACTGTAAGCATTTCTAAACCATCTCAATAGCATCCAGCCAAATATACAATTCATAATGGGGGGAAAAGTAGAGGGCTAACTCCCTTTCTTAGATGTCATGGTCATAAGCAAACTTGACCTCCTACTGGGACACAAGGTCTACAGAAAACCTGCCCACACAGAGCAGCACCTACACAAAAACTCCAACCACCACCCAAGACAAAAAAGAGGCGCAATCAAAATGCTGGTGGACTGTGAAAATCGGAACTGTGAAGCTCAATTTCTCAGCACCGAACTCAACCACCTGAATTGGGCCCTACAGGCAAATGACTATTCCAAGAATGAAATCAAAAGAGCCATCAAACTGAGAAAAAAAACACCACACTGAATAAGAAAAACAGCCCCCCACAAATAAAGTATTTCTGCAATACATCAAAGGGGTCATGGACTGCATGGGGAAACTATTGAAAAAACACAACCTATAAACAGTATTCAAAATGCAACAAATGTTACAGTCAGCAAAGGAGAAAAGGGATTCCCTCACTACTACAGGAGTATATCGGATACCTTGCAGTTGTGGCCAGGTATATATTGGGACCACAAAATGTAGCATCCAGGCCAGAATCTAAGAGCATGAAAGACACTGCAGATTAAAACAACCAAAAAAATTGTCAGTAGCTGAACACGCCCTGAAACAAGCTGGACATGAAATCCTATTTCGAAACACAGAAGTACAGTATTCGACAACACCAGCAATCATTATGTTAGACTACACAGGGAAGCCATTGAAATCCACAAACACCAGCACAGCTTCAACAAAAAAGAAGAAAGTCTAAAAGTCAACAAAGCCTGGTTCCCAGCACTGAAAAATACAGCCTGCTAAAAGGTCAATGAACTCTACCCAGCCACAAGGACTGGTGATCACTGCACACAAAAGACTAGCCAACAACACCCATCAATCACAGTGACAGATCATTTCCCAGCTTATCTCAACAAAACATCCATAAGAAAAAAAAATCACTCTGATTCCAGGAAACACCCAGTCTCCTGAAAAGAATAAAAACCCACAGCTACAAATACTCAACAATCCCACATACTACACCAGCACACAGACAGAATTCTAGCTCCTGTCCTTTGAAGATGCCGGCCACAGAGACTGGTGAAACATTAGGAAGAAAAACCTCCAGAACATGGGCAAACATTTCGGAAAACCCACAACAACCATCAATATGGGCTAATGCTTGCCTGCTAAAGTTCTCATTGGCATAAACGTGAATTCTGAGCTGCAGGAGTTCATTATGGCAGCTCCCACAGTCCACGAGGAATCCATAATCATGCATTCAGGAGATAAGAAGTTATCATACTTTTATATTATTTATACACAAAGGATCTAATACTGTGCTTTCAAAGACCACCATGAAATCAGACATCCAACAAACAAGCCACTAACAAAATCACATGATTAAACTTATAGGGCATGAGCGTAATCCTATGTGCAGCTACCTGGTGACGTGTTCTTCTGACTGCAGTTGTTCAAAGGTAAAAAGGCACTGGCTGAAATGCAACATAACAATAGTGAGGGAAAACTAATGCACCCACAAAGTTGTGATGTTTTTTACTAGATGCAGTAATGGTAGTGCACATGTCTTTATATTCCCTATGCCACTTAAATGTCTGTTTGGGCAAATGACTGTGGTATTGCCTGTGCAACCAGATGCACAACTGGAAACGGCACTGGATCCTCCCTTGTGCATTATCTAAAATGAAACATCTGCAAGTGCAGGGTTATGTTAGCAGACCATTGATTCTGATAAAACATCTTTAGCAAGCCAAAATGCAACCCTTAGTTTTTTAATTAGCACTGCAAACAATCTGCAAAGTAATGTTATCACTGAAACTGTCAGTGCTTCGGGAACCTTGTTTCAGGTACCCCACTGACAAGGAGGAACCTCATCAACAGAAAAAGAAACGTGTATCTTTGCCTCCTCTGTCACAAACCACAGCAAATCTAAAGTGGATTTATCAAAACCCCAGCAACGTTTAAAGTGTCATTAGCACCTCATTCAGTTGTACAGAAAGGTGAATGTGTCAATAACCACCATTACTCTTCTTCCCCCAACAGTCCCACTCCACTATCCAATTCTCCTGATCAGGCAAGAAGAGCAATGGGGGACCCCATCTTCCAAAGTCAAAGTTCNNNNGACAACTCCTTCTTATGACCCTCCCCCCCCCCCCCGATTTGCACTGATCACTCTGTCTTATATACCCCCCCAGTCCACTCCCTAATAATTTTTTTTTGTTTTGTACTAGAAAACTGAGTACAATTCTATTGCAAGAAACGCACAAAACTTTCCAATTGCTGCTTTGGTTAAAAAAAAAAACAGGAAGAGACGGAGCAACTCTACCTGAACATTAAAGATAATGGAGAAATCCTCAGCTACTGACCTGCAACCTAACTCATCTATGTTATGGACTAGACCTTTCGATTTAACAATTTTATTTCTATAGGGCCTAAACAGAACTACGATGTCCAGTTCAGCTCCAGGAAAAAGAGTATTAAATAAGAAGGGAATTAAGCAGAAACAGTTGCAGTAACAGAAAGAAAGAAAGAAAGAAAGAAAGGCATGTTCTAAAATTGGTCAGGTCAGGAATTTGCTAATAAAGTCCACCCTTTGGGTTTGTCATTACAGTGGGACCTCAATTTATGGACATCCCTACATATGAACAGCTCCGTTCGCAAAAATCCATTTACTTTCGAATGGAGGCCCGGCCTATGGAAAAAAAAAAAAAAAAACGGCAGGGGAAAAGGATGGGAAATTCAAATTTCCCCTGCCTTTTTTTTTTCATTCCATTCAAACAATTGGTGGCGAAGAGGCTGCTCTTTTGCTCCAATGGT